ATCTGTGTGAGTAACCCTTATTTCACCATGGACTTCTCCACGGTTTTTGAATTCAGATTTAACATTCGCCTTAGTTGGTTGCCACTCGAAACTAGGGAACCAGAACTTGTTATTGAACCAGTTTTCGTAAGAAAAACCATGTCTCTTCAAGACATGGCCGATGATGACTCTCCGCAGTTTCCTTATCAGTGAATTCCTATAATTTGTTAGGAAAGATAGTAGAGTATTTTTCCCATCGCTTTCTGTGTGTGTGTGTGTTTTTTTATACAAAGACTAGATACCATCCAAGGCTAGAGAGCCAAGTCTACCATGCATTACTGGGGAGAGGAGAAAGGGATTCATGCCTTTCCGAAAAGCATCTGGGCATTGAAAGTGAAGGCAACCGGCTAGGGCGCAACTTGAACTCTGCACGCCGTCTCTACCATCCGCGCCAATTTTCAGCACGTGCTTTAACACCCGTATCGAGTTATAAGAAAATAATGAGGTACCGTGTAAATGTATTTTACATTTTAATTGATTCTTAAATCAACTGCGGCTTTTCAGTAAAAAAAAAAAAAATTCTTGTATAGGAGATATGGCATATATTCAATAAATCGATCTGTCGACTACAATTCAAGTAAAGTTATTGATATTTCCTAAACTTAGCTTATTGCGTCGTAAGACTGTTCGAAATCGTTACAGTAGAAACGATATGTAAGATTAAATAGCTAAACCAGTGTGATAAAACTTACTTACTAGTTCGGCACCTGTCGCTTTGCTGACGACAAGAGGATCAATTTTCAGATCTAAACTGTCTATTCAAAATACTCCATTTAAATTCTATTCTAATAGTTTCTTTTCTCGAACTTCTCGCCTGTGGAACTCACTTTCTAGCTACCCTGCCAGCTATAATCCTCAAAATTGTAAATGGAACGCCAATCACTGTCTTCCTGAATCCTGTTCTTTTATTCTCTTTTTTCCGCCCTAATATCTTTTTATTCGCTTTCATTCCCAATACCCCTTTGCGTCTTAGTGGCATTATCGTATTCCTTTGGATAAACATATATATATAGACGTGGCTCTTGGGGCACAATCCGCTGGATGGGTGTCACCACGGAATTTCGTGAGTATCGGCGCTATATAGAGTCTCAAGTCAGTTTCTTCTTCGTCCAGTTTTATGATGCTTGCGTTGTATCGTAAAGGTCCGGGTTCGATTCTTGGTAGTGGATGCGCACTGCTGATGAGTCCCAAACAGGACAAAATGGCCGTACAGTGTGTTCCGCATTTTATTAAGACTCTATGAATAATTATAAAGTTTTCTTTACGATTTTAATTTACTTTTAATATCAAGCTAATAGATTAAACGAATTTGCAAGAATTGCTCTCATGTTTTTTAAATTTTAATTAAAATAATTTGTAAAATATTAATTTGTACCGGTTAGGTGATATTGTTATTATGTAAAAACTACATTTACTACTCATAAATGAAAAAATTTACTACACTACAACTATTAATATTTTAAAAAGAATTTAGAAATTTTTTTTAGATTTTGTATAAACGTAGTGATTTTTGTAAATACGGACATGATATTATCAAAAAAGAAGAGCAGTAACTATAGTAAATTTAAAGAAAAAGTACCTAAAATTCACTAAAACATTACATTACAGAGAATATTTTACTGGATGACCATGTTTTTTTTTTTTTTTGTTAACTCTCCTAATCCCTATTGTCCATTTATGCAAAGTAGGATATGTATACCGTTCCTTTGTCCCTCTTACATTCAATGTCCTGTGAGTATCAATTTTTCTAAGCCTTCTTTCTTCATTATGTGCCATAGAAATTTCAACTATCTCTTACTTATGTTAAGTATAAGTGACCTCTTTTGTTCTCATTTCCTTAAAACTGTTGCTGCTAACATGTTCAGTCTATGGTATTCTCAGCATCCTTCTGTGGAGCCCCAGTCGACTGCAGTGTATAGTAGGGTCAGTTGGGCACTGTCTGTGAGAAAAAGAACCATGACGCAATTCACTGCGCCAGAAACTTAGAAACGGTATGCTGTACTGCTTGGCATTCGCATCGGAAACTCCAACATTTCTGAGTATTTAGGTGTCAATAGTGATGGCGACGTTCATCTTTCATTAATCTTCCTACAGTGCCTCGGACTCAACACGAATGCCTACATCAAATGAGGAGGTAGTGCTGTTCTGGGTCAAGAGGCTGGCTGCTAGAATACCATATGTCTGGCAACAGGTTGCTGCACCTTGCCACACAAGCAGGAGAACCGAGCCATGGCTTTCAGACAATTTCTCCGAACATCACTTCTTACATCTGGCCACCTAACTCCCCAGATTGGACCCTTCTTTGATTATTAAGTGTGCGGCGCAGTTGAACTAGAGAACAACAAAACTCCTTATAATACCAACGATGAACTGAAGGCAAGGATCGTGGTAGCATTCATCAACTTAAACAAGGAGACCGTATATAAATATTTTGTACGTAATTTTATGCTATCAGCTTCAGGTATTTTGTACATCATTTTATATTTTCCGAGTAAAAGTATTTTTTTTGTTGTTTTTTTTTTTTAGTTTGTAGGTTATCATATGAATTAATGTCATGAAAAAATTATTTTGTGTTGGTTTGTTGATTTTGTTTAGCGGCATAACAACATCTATGGGTTATTTAATCCCGAAATCTAAATATTTTGAACCCAGTTGTATGCCTTCAACTACAGATAAAATGTATGGCTATCCATTTTGCAGCTATGATTGCCTTCACTCACAGAAAGAGCACTAAGATGCGTTTTTCATCGACAGTGCAGTCGTTGAGTGAGGCGTCCATACGTCTGACCTCGTTGCTCAATGCCACTCGACAGAACGAAGGAATGCTGCGCGCGGCTAGCTACCCGTCATACCATGCGCACGCTTGTTTTTTTAACGCCTAATTTAACAATTTGAAAATTCCCTTTACCTTCTGATTTGTCTTCGTATATCATCCAATAATTCAAGATTCGTATATCGCTGGTCAAAATGTATCTAAAAAAACAATTAACACAGTAATCCGTTTATTTTTCATATACTTCCAGTATTCAGTTGTCTCCGCTTATTCGAATCAGGATTCACTCGAGACTGAAGACCTCGACACATGATATTTGATAACTGCATCGATCAGCGCCTGACAGTCACTTATATAATAATTCAACCGACGTCATTAACACACTTCTTTTGTTTCTTGTTTGACGAAGTAAACTTCCTATTTTCTTTTTTTTTATCTTCTCTTCATTTTTTCGATTCATTTACGTCACCTGAGCTAAAAACCCGATTCTTGTAATGTTGGATTCAGTAGATATAACACTGAATTTTTCCTAACTATTCAATTAGATTTCCTTTTGTGTTTTACATGACGTAAAAGGCTTTCGTCAGCTCGAATATTTCTCTATTTACAATATCGACTCCCACGCGGTGTCCTAATTTCCCCAGATCTAGGAATTAAATGAGCCTTACTTATTATTCAAACTTTGTTTTATTATCATCATCAAAACAATTCGTGTATTTACACCCATCACCTTCCTTAAGCAGAATATTTCAAAACAATGGCAAATCTCATATATTAATTCAAAGTTGTTTTCTTCTTTCATTAAAACTGTTCTTATCTATCTATCTATTTATCTATCTATCTAAGTCTCTTCATATATATATATATATATATCTAAGCGTTTCACCCCAAAGAAGGCGGGAAGCCACTAGCACGCAAGGGGATTCAGAGAGTTGGGGCGAGAACAAAGATGAGTGATAGAGGAGAGGATGAAGAGACGGTTAGGAGATAGATCAGGGCATCTGGAGACGTCAATTGACGTTACATTTGAATAGTTGGAGATTATAGGTAAACAAGAAATGGGGAGGGAGTTCCACAGGCGAGAAGTGCGAGAAATGAAGCTATTGGAGTAGAAGAAACGGCTACACTTAAGAGTTTCGACAGTGAAAGTGTGAAAGTGAGATGCCAGCCTAGTTGAGCGCTTAAATTCATGAAGTCTGGGAACCAACGAAAGCAGCTCATCGGAGCAGTTACTGTGAAAGTATTTGTAAAAAAGACAGAGGGAGGCGACGGCATGTCTGTGAGAGAGTGACTGCAAACGAGATGCCAGATCAGGATCGATTACATTGCATATCCGTCTCTGGATTTTATCAAGGACCGATATATATATATATATATATATATATATATATATATATATATATGTGTGTGTGTGTGTGTCTTTTCATTTTTCTATCTATCTCTCTAAGTCTGTTCATATCTATCAATCTATCTATATATCTATTTATCTCGATCGGCTTATCTAGCTATCTACCTATCAATCGTCTGTTCATATTTATCTATCTATCTCAGTCTGTTCATCTATCTCAGTCTGTCCACATTTATATATCAACCTATCTATCTATGTATAACTTCGTATCTATCTATCTATCTATCTATCTATCTATCTATCTATCTATCTATCTGTTTGTCTGTCTGTCTCTGCATCTATCTAGAACTGTTCATATCTATTTATCTCTCAAAGTCTCTTCATCATCCATCTATCTGTTCATATCTATCTATCTATCTAGCTAGCTAGCTATTTTTACAGGGTTCAAGAAGACAAAAGATGACAATTGACGTTGCATTCAAATGTTTGAAGATCGTGGTTGGCAGGGAAGCAAGAAACTGTAAGAGAGTTCTAAAGGCGAGAGAAGAACCTATATTAAAATAGAACATACGGCTATATCTAGCTATTGCAACAGTTAAACGATGGGACCTAGCAGCCAATCTAGTAGCGCACTTAAATTCATACGGTCGATGTAACAAGGAGAATAGTTCATTGGGAAAATTGCCATGAAAATATGTATAGAAAAGACAAAGGAAAGCTACATCACGTTGCTGTTCGTATCTATCTAGATATCCAACTATATATATATATATATGTGTGTGTGTGTGTGTGTGTGTGTGTGTGTTCATCTTTTCATATGTATTTATCTATCCGAATCTTATGTCTATCTATCATATTTTTGCATCTATCTGTCTGTCTGATTATCTATCTATCTATCTATCCTCATCTTTTCATATCTATCTATCTATCTATCTATCTATACTCATCTTTTCATATCTATCTATCTATCTATCTTCTGTCTGTCTGTCTGTCTCTTTCAGTTCTGTTCATACGTATCTATCTACTTTTTCAATTCTGTTTCTATCTATCTATCTCCATCTTTTCATAACTATTTATGTATTCATTTTGCTAGTAATATCACATGTAAAGTAGTTTATAGTAAAACCATTTCCAAGTGTCTCAGTGTGTGATAATAGGGAGGCTAGTCTTTGCTATTACTACTGACTAGTGAGTTTGAACCTCTCTGGGTGTCACTTAAAATATTTAACATTAAATAACACATGCGATCCAGGTAAACTTCAAGGAAGTTCGGACTAAATCCATCATTCAATCAACAGGTGTATATTGTTTACTTTATACTTTACATATATAAAGATGTCACATCTTAGTGAATAGTACTTTTATTGAGGTTCCTATACGTAACTGGTGCATAAGGACACCTGTTTACTATAACCATGTCTGCGTTTGCTGGAAACTTTTACATCAACCTAATACCTGAACAGAGATGGAAGGTCATAGAAAAGCAGGGAAAATAATTTTATGACTGAATAATGAGGCAATAAATTTCGATGAATAAACATTTTATCAAAATAATGCTGAAAACTTTTACATCAACCTAATTTGGTAGAATTCAACATTTGACTATAAGTTTGATTGAGTAGGTTGATTTTACATATTAACCTATGATTGGTTAATTAAAGTCGAATTTTGTATGGACCACCCAGTGAGGGTCGAAGTCACTACTCAGCACTGATGGTTAACCATGCTAATTATAAGCCAACACCAAGGCACACTTTTCTAAACAGGTAGTGTTATGTGAAAGAATGGTAAGGAAAATAATTTGATGACTGAATACTGAGGCTATGAATTAAGATGAAGAAAATTTTTTTGTCAAAATGATGCTCGAAACTTGAACATCACCCATAAAGCAGAAAGTGGTGGAAGTTCATAGAAAAGCAAGGAAAATACTTTGATTTTTTTTTAAAGGGATGTTCACTTTGTACAATTTCCGGGGCCACTCGATGTAGAGATTAGAAAGTAAGAGACAGATTATGCGGATAGGAGGGGAAGATAACGGTTAATCTTAGACTTCAACTCGTTAAGATTGCAGTAATCGGGTAAACATCCTCTTGGAAGTCGATTCCAGAGAGCAATGGTACGCGGAGACAGTTTTGCACTCTATCGAGACTGGAAAATGAGGACTGGGAAGCTCATGTCCAAATATGACAACAGAGCTCTATTTTAGGACTCGTCTCGCTCTTTTAAAGGTATAGGATAGCCGTTGGAGTCGGGTACTTACAGAGAACCGACCATTTTTCCTGCATCTTTAGCGATGAATCAAATGTGCGTGTTCCACTTGATGCCAGGAGTATGTTTAAGGCGCAATAGTCTCTCATCGTGACTGGTGATAGTTCGGTGTCCGTCTGGGAGAGGTTTCAGGGAGAAAAATAAATTGTCACCCACAAGGACGCGGAAACGCTTTTTGACTCTATCGAGACTAGGCAACCCATGTCCAAATATGACAACAGAGCTCTATTTTAGGCCTGGTCTCGCTCTTGTAAACGTAGAGGATAGCCGTTGGAGTTGGGTACTTACAAAGAACCGACCATTTTTCCTGCATCTTTAGCGATGGATCGTATGTACGAGTTCCAATTGAAGTCACTAGTGAGTTTATGGCCCAATAGTCTCGCAAGACAAAGACCCTTCCCGAAGAGTCATTTATTCATCGTAACTGGTGGTAGTTTGATGTCCAATCAGCGATGATGGAATATAACTAGTTTGGTTTTCGAGACATTGAATGTAACCAACCAGTTTTTCCCCCACTGAGATGTAAAAGCTCGATCGGATGAGAGATCAGTTGCCAATCTCTGACAATCACGAGTTTTGGACGTTCACCTGTATATCGTCGTATCATCGATGTTTTTATTTATTTTTTGCATGTTTCTTTGTTTTTTTCACTTAATTATTTTGACATATGTTTCCTATACCATTGATATATATCAAGAGGTATTATATGATCGCCTCCTAGAATATCAATTAGCATTTTTATCGTCTTCACAACTGGGCATATATAGGTACTGTGGGATCACTCATTTCTTACCAGCAGAGATAATGCCACGGAATAGAAACCAATAAAGAAATAACAAGTGAAAGCGAGTGGAAAATGAGGATTGGGCAGCTCTCGCGCAAATATGACAACAGTACTCCATTTTAGGTCTGGTCTAGCTCTTGAAAAGGTAGAAGATAGATGGAGCTGTGAGGTACTTTAATGGAGCGATAGAGGGAACCGACCATTTTTCCTGCATCTTTAGCGATGGATCATACGTACGACATCCACTTGATGCCAGGAGTGAGTTTCAGGTCCAGTAGTCTCGCAAAGCACGGAGCCTCCCCGAAGAGACATCTGTTCATCGTGACTAGTGGTAGGTCGGGGTCCGAACGGCGATGATGGACTGTACCTTGTTTGGTTTACGAGGCATTGAATGTAACCAGCCAGTTTTTCTCCGACTGAGATCTGATAAGAGCTAGATCGGATAAGAGATCAGCTGCTAATTTCTTTTCAGCCCGAATTTTTGAGGTGCACCCATATATCATTGTACCATCTGCATAGATATTCACAAACGATCTGATTATACTCATAGGCAGATCATTTATGGAAAGTAAAAAGAGTCCTGTGTCCCCTGGAGACGCCTGCGTTTATTGCTAGGGATTCGGAGGACTGGCCGTTAACAACTACCTTCAGGGCCCTCCACGATAGGAAGGACTTTATAATGGAGAAGAATCTTCCAGTAATTCCATAGCTAGAGAGCTCGCTTGAGCAGTAAACCTTTGCGCCACACCTTGTCAATGATGACTGAATAATGAGGCTATGAATTTAGATGAATAAAAGGTTTTTTTTTTTTTCAAAATAATGATGGAAGCATTGAAATCAGCCTAACTTCAGAAAAGTAGTGAAAGGTCATAGAGAGTCAGGGAAAATACTTTAGTGACTGAATGATGAGGCTATGTAATGATGAAAAGTTTTTGGCCTGACAAAGCAGGTAAAATTTTTCGGCTAGACGAAGAAGGTTTTCCGAAAAATATTTCTGATTTTTGGTCTTTTTTTTTCTAGTAGATCTTGAAAATTTTTCAGTACCCACTTGTATTTAAACTGAATCATTCGTCCCGGATTAATTCATGGCTATAGGGTACCTTAGCTGAAATTTTTTCCTTACCAGCGAAACGTCCGAGTTTGCACGAAGTTGCCGGCCGCAGGAAGTTGTCCATGGCTAGACATCTTGGGAAAGAACAATCGACGGTTTTAGCAAGAAAATGAACTTGGTTCTTGGTTCGTATATATATATATATATATATATATATATATATATATATATATATATTTAGTTTATGGAAAACTAGGTAATCCGTATGGGTAGACCCAAGGAGGATAAAATCCAGAGAGCTCAACGTAAATCCAGAGCAAATAATTTAAATAAAAATAGACCACTTTAAGGTTCCATGTAATAAATTATTTCACCACAGCCCTTTTAAAAGACTGCGGATCATCAGACTTTACTTAAGTAAAGTTTGATGATCCGCAGTCCTTTAAAAGGGCTGTGGTGAAATAATTTATTACATGGAACCTTAAAGTGGTCTGTTTTATTTAAATATATATATATATATATATATATATATATATATATATATATATATATATATATATATATATATAAATGATGGGAATTAGGAGGATTTAAGATAATTATAATTAAGTAATTCATCGAGTCTAGAAGAAACCTCAACAGAATGCAGAAAGCACTGGACGGCCGTTTCGTCCTATATTTGGGACATCATCAGCAGTGCGCATCCACTACCGAGAATTGAAATCCGGACAGATAGGTTATTCAGGCAAACATCATACCAACTGTGCCAACGGGCCTCAGTAACGAAGAGGCAGCGAATCAGACTCGATATAGCGCCGCTCGATCACATATTCCGTGGTGGAACTCATCCTAGTTTCTCTTTTACCCATAGGACTGTGAACCTATATATATATATATATATATATATATGGGTAAATTGCTGCCTTTTTATATTTTCAATTTTGTGCATGCGCGTTGTTTGTTTTTGATTTTGTCGACTGCCCAGTATAGTAGGGTCAGTTGGGCACCGTCTGTGAGAAAAAGAGCACCGTGACGCGATTCACTCCACCAGAAATTTGGAAACGGCATGCTGTACTGCTTGGCATTCGTGCCGGAAGTGCAATACTAACATTTCAGTGTTTGAGTGTCAATCTGAGGACAGTGCAAAAGATTAGGAAAGATTTGAATGATATATCCAGTCAACATTATGGTGTTTGTAATGATCACTAGTGATGGCGAAGTTATGAATCCATTCATCTTCCTGTAGACTAGGTTATATTTGTCATTCGTGTACATTTGTGGTTAGTCTGTCCTCAACATTTAACGTGTGTAGTAGTAACTGAAAAGTGCTCTAACAATGGCAGGATATTCATATCGGGAACAGGCCGATATGCATGGCTTATCAGATTGCGTTTCCAGGGCGAAGGCAGTCGAGTCATCCAACCTTTGCTGCTGTTTATCGTTGCGTTACTGAAACAGGATCCGTGCAGCTGACCACGAAGGACACATTCTACTGGCTGTCGGGGACAATCCAGGTATCAGTACACGCCAATTGGCCCTGGCATGTCGTACATTTCCGAATACTTCACGGAGGGTATTTCAAGAGCAGCTCCTGTGTACGTATCATTTATAAAGTGTTCAAGGTCTTTCACCCTTTGATCACTCACCATGGGAGAACATTTACATTCTATTGCACAAACTGCTGATCCGCTGTTTGTTTCCTCAGTCTTGTTTACGGATGAGGGAACATGAAATAACAAATTTACACAATTAACATTTGTGGGTGGATCGGAATCCCCATGGTACAATACAGGCTAGATACCAGCATCAGTTTACGATTAATGTGTGGGCTGGAATTATAGGTGACTGACTGTTAGGTCCATATGGTTTCCCAGCACGTCTTGCAGAAGTTGTCTACGGGGATTTTATTTCGAACACACTTCCAAATCTGATAGAGGATGAACTCTGCTAATAAGAAAACGCATCCGGTTCATGCATGATGGGGCCCCAGCACATTTTACCCACATTGTTCGCGATGCATTGGCTGACATCTACCATGAAAGATGGATAGGGTAGGGAGGAGGACCGGTCCCATGGCCTGTGCGTTCCCCCGACCTATCCTATAGATTTTATCTGTGGGGGCACCTAAAACAATTGCTTTATGCAGCAGACTATAATAATGCAGAGACGCTTCATCAACTTCTCATGGGAGCCTGCGATTGATAAGAATATTTGAAAGTGTCCGCCAGTCAATGATCCGACGGGTGCATGCATTTGTAGAAGCAAGCGGAAGACATTTTGAACATTTGTTATGAGTTGCTGTGTTGAGGTACAATGATGGCTTTTTGGACATGTGTTTATATGGACATTTTATTTTGTTTTGGTGTAAGATACCCGCTCCAAAAAGTTTGTAAGAGTACTTTTGATACATCCTATATATATATATATATATATATATATATATATATATATATATTATATATATATATATATATATATAAATTATATATATATATATATATATATATATATATATGTAAATATAAATTATATTAAGAAACAGACAACTTTAAAAGGATTTCTCGAAATTTCAAGCCGATAGGTAAAAATAAATATACAAACGGAGCGCCTATCTTTAATGTATTGATAATATAACTATATATATATATATATATATATATATATATATATATATATATATATATATATATATATAGGGAGAGAGAGAGAAAGAGAAAAAGAGAGAGAAACGGTCTATATGAGATAACGATATATAAATGTTTATATCAAAAACGATATTTGGGAGAAAATGTATGACAAAGAGGAAAACATTTTCTTGTAACGAGTTTTGTCCTTTAGGACTTAATCGGACTAAATTTGTTATGTTCGTGTGACTACGCATGCGCGCGAAAAAAAGTGATGCTGGGAATTTTAAATTTAAAACACACACACACACACACACACACACATATATATATATATATATATATATATATATATATATATATATATATATATATATATAGCATGAACTAAATAGTTCAATAAGTAATGTCTTAGTTATTATCCCGAAAATTTGCACGTCGGATCATTTCTTTTAAATCAAATATGCGGTGCATTTCAATTTATATTACAACGAATCATTCATACAGAAAGTAAATTAGTAAGGTTAATGATATAAAATAGCGAAATCCCTTCGCTAACAAAATTTACAAGTATTTCGTCTTCAAGTTTTTGATTTTATAAGGAAAAAAACACATGCCTGATGATGAATAGAGGACTATTCGTAAGTACTAGCATTTTAACATCAAATAAACTGAAAACTACAGACATCAAGTTTATCGACGAGGATCACTTCGCACTATGGATTAACAGTATTTTAATGCATATATTATGTTTCTAACGATGGATGTCGCCAATAATCGCATTAATACTTCTGATTGATTCTATGTGTGATTATTTCTTTGTATGTAAATTATATGCTGCCTAATGTTTTATATATATATATATTCTACACAAGTAGATAGGGGGGGCCTACCATCCCTAAAATGGAGACAATTTCACTCGCTGGAAACGGACCCTTAGTAAAAATCTAAAACAAAATTAGGGAAACATTAAAAACTGCACACACTCAGAACCTTCATATTGGATTCAGCAGGCAATATCCTTATAAGGTGACTCGTCTGTGTGTTTCCTTCGCCGGGCTCACCGTTCGAGCCTACTTTCAGGGATCCAGTGGACCGTTGTCGATGTGACGAATGGAATGTGCGTGAAAACGAAACACAAAAAAAAACCCTGTATTATCGTTACTCACGCGTAAAAGTTTTCTGCAAGCAGCAACTCCGGTTGTTGCACAGATGTTTTCTTTTTTCGTTTTTTTTTCCCCCTTGCCCTAACGAAACAGTATCGTTTGCGAATTGGTAAAGACAGACAATTTAAATGGGGAGAAATTATACTTTAGCTTGGTGCAAAAGATTCCCCAATCTTTTGTTCATAGGAATTCATATTACCATTATTCAGCCGCTAAAGTGTTTTCCCAGGCTCTCACTTCTCTCTCTCTCTCTTCTCACTGTTTCTTCTCTATCTCTTCGCTCATTTTTCTCTCTCTGTCTCTCACTTCTCTGTCTCTCTTCTCTCTCTCTCTCTCACTTCTCCCTCTTCTCTCTCTCACATCTCTCTCTCACTTCTCTCTCTTCGCACTCTCTTCTCTTTCTTCGCTCTCTCTTCTCTCTCTCACTTCTCTCTCTTCTCTCTCATTTCTCTCTCTCTCTCTCACTCAGCCAATTAT